AGGCATATTTTTCAAGCTTGTCCGGTGCGGCGGTGTGGATATACTGCACTCAGATTAACATCGCAAACATCAAATTCACCTGAGTACATAACACCAACACAGAAATAAGTCTCTGTGAACGTTTCTGTGGGTTATATCCGTGAACTGTTGCTCGCGAAAAATTTTGCAAATTTCAGGTTCGTAAAAAAAATATTTATTTCCACTTGATAGATTAGAATATATTCCGTGTAACAGATCCAGTTTCAGTTCGAGATCAGTTTCTCATTCCAGTCTCCAAATTACCCGCCCAATCGTTTCAATTTCCTGCGTTCTGATTGGATGGCATAAAATTAATTCAAAATTCAAAAACCAAACGACCGGCCATTTTGAAAGTTTTTACTGCTTAGAAATGCTTTTGGTGACTTCCTTCCGAAAATAATGGACTTTCCGAGGTAGTATTGGCCGATTCGTTTCGATTGAGGAATAGTTCATAATCCTGTGGAGGAATTTAGCTAAAATACAACGTTTTCAACGCTTGCTGGCGTGTTTTAGTAGCGGTTTTTGTGGTGACGATTTACCATTTGGCCGAGAATTCAGCAAACATGGACGAATCTAATTTGGTTCCGAAAGCAGAGAGCCTTTTTGCTTCTAGTGTTTTAATACCGATGGGCATTAAAATTAACAAGCCAGCCGGTCTGACGAGGTTGAACGAGGTGATCGATGAATTTAATGAAACCTATTTGGAAACGATGGATTTTCTGACTCAAATTTTGCCCTTGGCCAGGGAGCAATTTGGAAGGTATGACACTTTGTGTTTTATTTTTGAATAAATCCTCCGTTAATATGTGTTTGGTTTGTTTTAATGTTAGATTTGATTAGCTATTTTAGCATATAGGATATTTATAATGTTCAGTAATGTTCTAATTTAATGAGTTACAGTTCTCGTGAATAGTTTTGTATGTTTATGTATATTCTGTCAGAATTCATATTGAACCGGGTTCATTATGGCGGATAAAGACCTCCTTTACAAATCTACAAGTACATTAGAACTAGTACTATTGCAAACTACTGTTTTCAACTCCGGAGCCCTGTTTTACAGCTCAAATCTCCGGCTCTTGCTGTGTTGGTTGGGCATAAACTCTATAACCGGATAATGATAGATATTATCAGCCCTTGAAAACATTCGGCAATGCCGACCTATCAACCTCCCAGGTTGGCAAATTTTTTCCAACCTTAATGATAATTGAGCCAAAGTCAGAATTTTTTGGTGCTCATGATAGCTGTTAAAATTAAGTCGGCGATTATAGAATTCGATTCGTAGTTCAATTAACTGAACACCCTTCGGTGTATTAGGTTTAGAAATTAATCCGTATTGTACATACAGGTGTCTGTAGATCAAATTTTGCACGTCTGGAAATGAAATTTGGCTTTTGAATGTTACAGCTGGAGGTAACGTTCCAGTTATATTCCGATTTCAATGATTTGTAACTGCGTGATTACTAGTGCTCCAAGATGTGGAAACAGATTTTAAAAGAGACTGACGTTAGGTTTAGATTTAGGTCAGATTTTTTGCCACTTCAATTTTGACGGTTTTCGAGGGCTGTATTATTCGGCTAAATTTTGTCCCTGTGGCTTTTGTTAGTGAATTAATTGAAAGAAATGCTCAAATGCAGTGATGGAAATTATGTAAACTTATAAGGGGCCATTCACAAAGGATGTCCGAGCCGAGGGGGGGAGGGGGGTTTGGAAAATCAGGACAAACTCGGACATAGGGGGGGAGGGGGGGGTTTTTAGCAATCCGGATGTCCGAAATTTAAAAAAAACAAAAACAAATTTCTTTTTCCCTTTATTTTGAGCAGTCCTTCCCATTGTGAAATTGGCATTTTGACTATGCAGTTAATACTAGATTTTGTTTTAATTAGTAATTTATATGTTTTTGTATTCACATTTATAGTTATAAAAAAGTTCTAAAAGTAAAAAAAGTTTTTTACTCTTGACATATACATGGTTGCGTGAGTTTTTGCGAGGCATGGCGGATGTCCGGGGGGAGGGTCACTAATTCGGACAATGCCGGACAAGGGGGGGAGGGGGGTCTGAAAATCCATCATTTGGCCGGACATCCTTTGTGAATGGCCCCTAAGCAAAACTTAGTTTGGATTGCAGCTTGAATTTCAACAGTTTATTTTGTAACAAAAGATCGTGAATTTTGGGCTTTTAGTAACAAATTCAGTTGAGTATTTTCTGAGGGACTGACAAAGACTAGAGTAGAGAAACGATGTATCATAAATCATAATTCGAAAATCTACGGTCTACGGACCTGAAATCGTTTTTAAAACGAAACAATTTGCAGTCATTGAACAGGCATGCATACATGTCATGAGTCTCGATCTCATACATAAAAATTGACATATATACTAATAGTAATATATATACAGAAGTCTAAATAATGCTCCCAACAGTTTTCAAGTATTACAGTAATTTATTTACAGCGTAAACTAATTTATAGAATTTTCACGGATTTTTAAACTGCCATGGATAAAATAACCAAATTATTATCTATTGATATTTGACCTCGCCATTTGACTGATCAAAACAGTTTACCTTCGAAAATCACTTGAGGTGGACACACCAATATTCCAAACTTCTCCAAATTTTTTTATATCTAAGGTAAATTTATCAGGAAATGTCAGTTTTATGCCCCTAAGGCTAAGGTGCAGTGATAACCAATTTGTGCAGTTATAAATGAGATTTGTGCAGTGGTAAAATGGGATATTGTTCAGTACCAGAAATTGGCGACAAAATGGCCATGCATGCACTGCTTGTATACTAATTTGCATATAATCCACATACAATGGCTTTCAGTTTTTACTGGGAATATACAGCCTATAGGGTGAGAGCTCGGCTACTGTTTGCCGACCTCTTGATCAATAAAGTATTCGTTTACTAATGTCAGTCGGCGGCATATTTATTCCGATCGGGTACCTCTCCTATAGCGGCCAAATCGTGTTCAAGAAAATCACTATTATGTCATCTATAGGGAATCGTAGTATGGGTAAACTGCTCATTAGCGGTGAGTTTGGCTCATTTGCCTGCGTATATAATTAATATTAGTGACATGCATGCATGGGGTAAAGTTTAAGTTGCGGAACCAGAGTACATGCATACACAAATGCGGGGCAGTCAGAACGTTTTCTAAAATGTTGCTAAATTTATATAAATTATATCATTTTTTCGCGCAGTCATAAAATATCCTTACAATAATCCCTGGTTTTATGGGAGCGAAGTAAAATAGGCTCTGTTGATTGGGGTAGTTAGGACAAAGTTTATCATTTGAAAGTAAATCCTATAAATTCAATAACGCGCATTTGACCATTATTTTTTGCTCTTATTCGTATGACATTATCCAGACATACTGGAATATTTTTACTACTTTACATAATTTGGACAAGTCAAAATATTTCATTTCGCCACCTTAAATTATTCTAAAAGACAAATGGTTGGTTATTTTGGTCCATCGGATATCAGTGGATTATAAAAACATATGATAGTCATTTAACCCAGTACAAAACTCTGAAACGTCAGATTAAAGCTAATTTAGTCTTAGTAAGACCCTATAAGACATACTACATCCTGTATTTTTGAATAAAATGTTTTTAAAAAAGGTTTTTAAAAAATTGCCAGTGTTCCAAGTGCATGTCAACTGGTTATAAAGACTACTAATACTGGTCTGTTCTGTATTTTTGTGCACTTGCACCTGCACTACACCTTTTCCACACTATAGCTTTTAAAAATCAGCTAAAAATCGCGAAATTTTATTCGGGGGTTCGTTCAGGCTACAGTATATATGTGCTAGATGATAATGACAAGTGGTTGTTTGTATTCAGAGCTTGAGACGTACAGTACAGTCGAAAAGAAAACACGAGATTATTAAGATAATTATTTAAGTCATACATAATTAAATGATATTACATAACTAAGTATAGGAAAAACACCGAGGAGAGATTTATGTCATATAATGCCCTACAGTGCCTCCTTCTCGGTGTTTATTCTATACTTAAAAACGGGTATCTGAATTTACTAGAATATTAAATTTAAACTCTTGACCCTCGAAATTATATGTTTATGTATAAGTTGTATACCCCATGCAGATCTTTCAAAATTGTTGTTAAATTTGTTATAACTTATGGTTTTAATAGAAATATATTAAAAATGCGGCCTAACTAGACTAATTCACAAATTCCATTCTGTTTTTGCAAACCTGTTTCCATATACCAGTTCTTCTGCCTGGCACAAGTTAATCCTGCAAGGCCTGGATCGTGTTAGAATATATTTATAGAGAACCTTTACAATAACCGTATTTATAGAGAGGTGTTCGTAAAGTTCTCGATATTAGGTAAATCAAGTTTTGTATTGTAGGTAGAGCAAGGTGACAAAAGTAATGACTTTCTGTTTTAATTTATGTTATTGTGTATACATTCCGGTAATATATACTATAGTATAAATCAAACTATCCGATATAGCCTGATAAAATTCTGTCTTTTTTCAACAATTACTGTTTCTGTCATTCCCACAACTGGACAAAGCATTCATCGGCAGCTGAAACAACTACAAAAACTAAATCAATAATGGTTAAATACATAACGTCTTCACCGTATATAGACCACCACGAAAATGACAACATATCCGACAACTGCGCAAACCGTTAGACCCCCTTTACAACAGCAAGGTCAGGCTCTTATCGTTTCTATGGTTACCAGTCCAAGATGCGGGACTGTAAAGTTGCGGTTCGCACTCCGAACTCCAAACATAGCAATTTCAGTTTGGACACTAAGTCAAGAAGAGTGAAGACTGAATTGTAATTCAAAGCTGTAAAGAATTTTCAGAATCAAGAGATTTCGCAATGAAATTTGGTGCTGTTCTAATTCTTGGTCTGGCGTATCTTTTCTCACCAGCAGGTAAGGTGATCAAGCAAAAGATTAATAATGTAACCCGACCACTAGACTTTATTATCTTTCTGAGAATAGAAATTCGCAACAAATGAATGGATTTTATATTTTAAACAGAATCTTCTGTCGGGAGAGTGATGTCGTTCGTGTATTTAATCCGAGTGTGAGAATGTCACGTGTTCAACTCAGAGCGTTGTTGGCAAAAGCAGATCTAGTTTCAGCTGGTTTTACGAAAACTGAAGAAACTCAGATCGTCACGGGTGAAAATGGTGAAAAGATAACGAAGGAAGTCACCTACTACACCGTCCAAGACGCCTGCTCCAATGTTTCATACTGGGAGGAAATAATTCGCGATCGTCTTCCAACGTTTTCTGCAAAATTAACAAGGAAGGTTATCGATGAAGTAGAGGAACGCATCAGTAATCGTGCAACCGAGTATTGTCGATTTGGTCTCGAAATTCACTTTCAACTCTGCAGCCACGCTGAGAAAAAAAAACCTGCAAAGCGCGTACTTCGGCGCGGACCACGTCTACCTCCACCAATACAAACACAGCCAGCACCAGCACCACCAACAACGTGTACTCATATTTGTATTTTTTGTTGGAAGGTTGCGATCAAGTACATGTCCGTGAACTTATGATGGGCATGAGTAGCGATAATGATTATCTGGACTTTTTGTTTACTGACTTTACTGTTAGTAAGTTGTCCGATATTTTATTTTGTATTTCTGATATTTAAATACACAGCATTGATAATTTCACTTTTGTTCATTTGCTTGTTTTTTTTTCTGGCTTTCATATCATCACAAAACGGGTTTAAAATGCATGAAATAACGTTTTGTAGACCCTAAAAATTTCAAAACCTTTTTGACCTTCTCAAATTTCAAAAATTTTCAATGTTATTTCACTCTCGTCCTAGGCGCTTTGATGTGCTAAGCGGTTGCGTGACGCACGCGCGGGAATTGAGTGTCCTCCCGCACAGGGACGTCGCTATAGGGGGGGGGGGGGTGTAACACACGCCCAATAATTCAAACGTTGGTCAAAATGGAACTGATCAGTATGCGTAAATTTGAAGGTAAAACACGTGATAAAAGATGACCTAAGTTGCTCAAAGTTATGATATGGTTCGCAATTTTAGCAATTTTAAAGCTTTTGTTATGTTTGCGGTGAAAAAATTGGAAGCTTTCTTATTTTGGTGGAAAAATTTTGAATATGTATATGTTAGTCCAGAATTTTTTTTTCCTTCCCCCCGTCGACAACATTTTCGGGAAAAATTTGCACGACTTGGTCAAAATCCTAGGAAATGATGGTCAAACCATCACGACCCCCCCCCCCCCCACAATGTTGATGGCTTCGCGACGTCCCTGCTCCCACATGCGCGTCACATAACATCAAAGCGCCTGAGAACGAGACTGATGTTATTGTTAGTACTATGGTGACGTCGAGTGGTTGTTTGCAAGTCTTGTCAGGTCGATCAGTTAAAATGGATATCAGCTGTATACATTAACATAACGTGCATGACAAAACAAGATTATACACATTTATATTTTAATGCAAGAAGTTTATTTTTTATCACACGTTTTACACACTTGTATATTAATCTGCTGGACCAATTCTGGTGTTACATACTACACATATAGCTACACTAGTACATCTATAGATAATTATAGTAATTATATTGAGAAAACGTTCTTACTCTTAGTAAAAAATCCGGTCCTGAAAATCCTTTGCCGGCTGTAGTATGTATCGAGTTAGTATTTTATTTTAGCCTTCAAATCAATTTCGACGCTGATATCAATCCTTATAAGCCATCCTCGTTTCGGACGAATCCTTTTAGATAGTGGGACAGTGGATGTCATCTCGAGACCAATGAGACAGTACTTCGTTGGACGACCGCTTACTCTATCCTTAACATCTCTCGCAAAAGTGCGACTGACAGTGGATGAGAAAAAATTGGGGGGCAATTTCTTTTCCAACTTTTCTTGCCATGCTTTGGCTTGGCTGCATTCGTCTTTTACCAGATAACGAAGTACGCTCTTTTTTCGCTTCTTGCCATTTTCGTCGGTGCCGGTGGAGGACTCGATGGTTTTGTTGAAGCCGAGTTCTTCCAGATTCGCTTGCCTCAAGGCTTCTCGCGCTTGGTAGCGGTTCATAACACCGTTATGATCGGACACACTGATTTCATCCGTTTCCGAAACAGCCCCAGCTGAAAAATATTGAAAACACACGAATTTAAGGCTTGTTTTAGACTATGTATATATTATACTATAGTGTAACATGTATGCAAGAGAATTTTCTTTTATTTTTGGAAATATATATATATATTTATATAGCATTCGCTATAGAATATCTAGGCACAAAAAGACTTTCCATCATCAGTTTTGAGAGCTATAATCAGGGCCGCCGAGAGGGGCGGGGGAGCAGGGGGGGGGGAATTGCCCCGGGCTCCGAGGCTCTGGGGCCCCTAAAAATTTAATGTTTGGCCCCAGTCATTTTTTCGGGCGAAATATTTCTGTTTTCGGGCCGAAATATTTGTGTTTTGGAGGTAAAGTACCGAAATTTGGTATGGAAAATTGCGGAAAAGTCCCACGAAAGCAATTACAACGTAGTTGTCCTGAAAATATTTTTACCTGAAAAGAAATTATTGACCGAAAAATTTTTTTCCGGAAAATTTTTTTGCAATAGGGGCCCCTAAAAATTTTTTTGCCCCGGGCCCCCGCCAAGCTCTCGGCGGCCCTGGCTATAATTCATGGACCCCATGCAGTACAAATAAAGTTAGACATTTAGACTTTAGTTTATAGGTTAAATATTTCAGTGTTGCCGTTCGTATGTATATATATATAGAGTCAAACTGAAAGCGCTGTTCTCATACTAACCACCAACACACATTATCAAAGTTCAAATAGATACTATCTTAGCTAGCTGGCATACCCAATTTTTTATGAATGTTACCTGCAATACATGTTGAGAATAAGGCTATATTATTATAGAGCAAACAAACAAGTAAAGTCTCTTTTTAACTACAAAAAACTGGGAAACATGTTTTCGTATACGCTGTAGATTTGCACGATTAAAGGGTGGAAAACGATTTTAATGAATAACTAATAGCCTTTGAACAAACTAAGGAAGAGTAGAAGTACTTCGTCCCGTCTTAGCTACTTTTTGACCCCCCTTCACGAGAACCTGGTTTACACATCCCTGCATGACATGTACCTGATGGAGACAGACAGACCACCAAAGCAACGAGGATTGCAATGCCAAACTTCATCTTCGATTTCTTTATCTTCTCTCTTCAAATCTTCTGTTCAATCTTCTTTGATTTTGTTAAGATTTCCAAACTGGAATGGATTTCAGCTTGCCAAACACTCTCCTTTTATGCATTCGATATGGAAATTAGCTGTTGGTACCATATATGCACGATTGTAAATGTCAACACACACAGCCTTCCTTCAGCTTGTAACTTTAGGTAGATGTGGTTTATTTGCACAAACCACAAATATCTATTCATACTATATAAATATTATTTAAAAAGTGGCTTACATTTAATCCAAATAGTCAACTTTTTTGCCAACTAATCCTTGTGTCAATGAAATTTTTGTTCTTGATTTTGAAAGAACGAATACATAAATAACCGAAAATATATTGGCATGGAAACTGCTTAGTAATTGAGACTAGTTTTTTAGTTTTGTAAACACAATTTTATAGTTTAATTAAATTTTAGATCTAGATGTGTGTTATGGTTAGATTCAAACATTGGTCTCTGTACATGCATATTCTCTAAATATGTGGAGTGAGTGCCTCACAATTACATGGAAAATCCGACGATAGGTTAATGCATTTATATATTGTAATCTTTATAGGATCAGGGCATATTTTAAGAAATTACAACCACTGGGGCCGTTTCAAGCGTGCCGTACCGTGACGTATCAAAACAAATTTTAAAATTTCAAAATTTAGTGAATTTTCAATTGGTTAATACTTCCGTAGTACGCTAAAAAGTTGACTTGCGACGAACTTTTTATTTTGATACGCGAATCAACCGGAAGTGCGTAAATTTGAAAACCCATCTTCAAGCTGCGCATGCTCACCGGTACGTTACGTTACGATACGGGCGAAGTGGAAAACGGCCTTAAGTCTCGATGATCGAGGGCCTTTTCTCTATACAGTTATGCGTACATATAAAGACAATTCTGTGCTGACTTTGATGGGATGTCAAGAATATGAGAGAATATAAGAACGCAGGTAGATACAGCTTTGTCAACGAGGTTGGACCCTTTTTATTAGCGAAGGCCACTATAGCACTATCCACTGCATAGTGATTTTTTTAAGTTTCCCAAAATTGGTCGTTGATTGGTGTAACCAAGATTAAACTTTAGTATTTACAAGTTAAAGTTTCTTTTTATGAATTGTGAGGTCCATGCTTATCGTATCCGTTGTTTTAAAGCTTTCCAAGCAATTATACAACGTTAGCACAGAGGAAGTACATACAGAGATCTCACTTCAGGTTAATTTCGCGTAAGGGATTTTTTCAGTCCGCCATGTTCTTAGCAAGTGCCCTAAAGAGAGGCCTTTAGGGCACTTGCTAAGAACATGGCCGCCAGCTATTTCGGTAAAAAAGCGCCTTACGGTTTTGTAATGGAAGTTACACTTCTGTATGTCTTTATTCTGTGACGTTAGGGAGCGGTCATTATTTATGGCGGTGGGTGTGGCACCGAAGAGAAATGTTTTTCTTGGTAAATATTTTGCTGATCCAACCGTTAAAAAGTAAAAGAATTTCCCAACCTCAAATATCAATTAAAAAATAAATACGTACCCATGCATGAACCCTCTGCCCAAAAAGCTTTACAAATGTTGTCACTCATGTCCTTGACCATGCACTTCTGTGATATGAATTTGATAACTGCATGCTTGTCTGCAAGAAATTTGCCCATTTGAAGCTGGAACGGTAGTCCAAAGATGACACAAGATTAAGAAAACTATGTAAGTCAGCTTTATATAATTAAATGTCCTTATGACATGTTTAATGAACACTTAAGCCAATAAGTCAGATACAAACAATTAATCATAAATCGTGAGATTGAGACCGATGGAGATGGAGTCATCTAAAATTTTATTATAAAATATTTGGAGTTTCCCATGGTATGAATTTCACAAACGTGGAACCTTACATACACAGCTCAAATCTCATTTTCCATCCCATTTTCCTAAAATGCTTTACATATAGTAGCTTATTTATAGAGCTGCAAAGTATTGGTATTAGAGAGGTCTCCGTATTAGAGAGGTCTCCGTATTAGAGATGTGTCCATATTAGAAAACCTATATATAATAACCGTATTAAAAGGTGTCAGCATTAAGTGTCCACATTAGAAAGGTGTACTCAATAAATTCTATAAATTTTTTCATCAATTCAATTATTTATTCACGTGAATATTCTGACTTTCAGTTATATACTCTATAATTTCGTTTTATCGTGTACATTCCAAGTCTTTTTTCAACAATTGCTGTTGAACTCTAACAGGGAAAAGCACACATCAGGAGCTGAAGCAACGACAAAGACTAGATCAATGCTTGAAAATATGAGGATTACATTAATGATTATATTGTTCAAACTAATGCTATTTTTATTCTTGTTTGTGAGCCGAAACCAAGGAGGAAATCAAACCACCTCCCAAGATACAAGAGTATATATAAAAAGGGTCGCACTCCAAACACACCAATTTCAGTTTGGAGTCAAGAGGAGTGAAGATTGAAAATATTATGAAATTTCGTAATGGTTTCATGATGACATAAGATACACCAAATCTGTAGCTTTTATTTTAGTTTTCGTCTAAAATGCATTGGCATAGTGTCTCACGTATGCAGACCCTGAAATAAAAAATTTTCCGGGCGACCATGTCTCTGACCAGACGATTAGACCCCCCTTTTAAAATCACTTTAGACTTAATTTTAGTCTATGATTGGATATAGTGCTGATTCCATTTTAATATGGATAGACCATAGTTCATTGTGAATCTAAAATTGCGTCTCTTTGTTGAGAAAGGCAATTATATTTATTTAAGTAGACAGGAATGTGGTATTATGCCCTACTAGTAAAGGGATTAACCTCAATTTTTGCAGAACTTAGAAATTTTGATTGACTTGTCGTCTTGGTCAATATCAAGAGTAATTTATTCGCCTGCATCTTTTCGGACATGTTTATACGTATTATCAGACCGTGTGAAAAGAAAAAAAGGGTGGTGCTGCCGTCTCTACATAATTCTTTTTATAGTATAATGAAAGCAATGTTCTCACTTTAATTAACTATGAAAACTTGAAAGCCAGTTTTCATGTCATTTTGTATCAGGTTTGACATGCGGCAAACAAGTTCGGACGGAAAATGGTATAGATATGCAAATATTCCAGCCTAGTTCCTGGCCTTCCCGCT